CCATACACACAGACACCACACCAGCGTGGAGGAGACATACACACCCCATACACACAGACACCACACCAGCGTGGAGGAGACATACACACCCCATACACACAGACACCACACCAGCGTGGAGGGGACACACACACCATACACACACGGACACCACACCAGCATGGAGGGGACACACACACCACGTACACACACAGACACCACACCAGCGTGGCGGGGATACACACCCCATACACACACAGACACCATACCAGCATGGAGGGGAAACTGAACCAATCTTAACCCCCAAGGACTGGGACAGTGAACAGTTTCTGGTGCCTGGGGTGGGCTCCGCTCCCCTGATTTTGGACTGGTCAACTTAAACAAAGAAATGGAGCTGATAGGCCTGAAGCATCAGGTAAGCAGGTTCTGGAACAGCTTTAACACACCTGACCAGCCTGAACTGGTCCTCCAGAAGGGGCTGTCAGGGATAGAAGGACTGCTGGCCTGTTTCCTGTCAAGGGGATGAAAACTCAGGAAGTATACCATCGCCATCGTTGTGGCCCTTCCTTACTGCTCCATCTGTCCAGGATCCGTGTTGCCCCCAGTCCCTCTGAGTGCCAGTGCCTGTCAGCACAAGAGCAGAGCCGCTTTCCTCTGCTGCAGCAGCTCAAAGAGGCTGTAGTCTTAGCTGCCTCTGCAGGATGGCTCCTTTGATTAGATTTTATTGTGGAAGTTCTTTGGGGAAGATTATTTTCTACAGCCTAGTTGTGCTTTGCTTGGTGACAGAGCCACATTCTGAGGATATCGGTAGGCATTTGCCGTGGTTCAGACATCAAAGTGTCCTGCACAGACCTGGAGGGCCAGTCACCATGGAGCAGAACCCTGCGGAACGGTGTCATTGGCTGTGTTGTACAGTATTTAACTTTTTACCTAGTGTGTGCCTGGGGCCCGCACACACCAGAAGAGGGGTCCAGGTCCTCTGCAAGAGCAGCAAGTGCTCTGAACCATTGAGTCAGTCCTATTTTGATAGCCCAAACAGTGTGGTCAGAGTCTACTATGGTGTATAGGAAGAACCAGGAGGAGCTAGGGGACAGGAAAGAATATTATAAAAATATACTGTATGAAATTCTCAAATAAAACCCATTATGGACATCAAATGTGGTTTCTACCTTGCTTTTTCACTAGCTCTTGTGATTGCTAAGATGTGGGCCCTTCCCATAACCCCAGGCAGTGGTGAGAGCTGAGGGGCTGTTCTTGCTGTGTAGGTGATGACTGTCTCTCTTCTTCTGCAGCTGAACATCCTGGCCTGTGGAGTCCTGGGCTCCTACTCTGTGGTGTTGGCTGTTGACAGTTACACGTTCACCAGCCTCTCCTACATCACTCTGAACGTCCTCAGGAGGGCGCTCAACACAGCTTTCCGAGGGGCTCTCCTCAGAGCGCCTTTCCAGACTAATGGTAAGTCTCTTTGATCCAGAAATCATAGTTCAAGTAGGTGTGCTGACTAGGAGCATGCAGGCATTACCCCTACCAGGAACACGCAGGTATCACCTGGGGCCGGAGGATGAAACATGGTACAGATGCCATGAGTGTGCCCTGCCAATAAGCAAAGGATTCAAATGTCTCCTAAACCTCTAAGCAGATTTTGTTAGGGCCTTCCCTGTCCATTCTCAGATCGGGAAGCTGTTTGACACCCATGGGTGGGGGCAGATGAGGAATGAATGAGAATGGTACCCTAATTTAATTTAAAACATATTCCTTTGTTTCCTTATTGATGATTTGGTTAATTTTTAATTAGTGATCATGTGGTTGCCTTAATTAGAAGATTTTGTCCATTACTGATCTTCCATCTCTGTAGCCAAGGCTAGCCTCAAACTCATAGTGATCATCCTGTCTCAAGCCTTACAGAGAGGGCAGGTGTGAACCTCAACAACGGTGGCCTTTGTTAACCCTTCCAAAGGAAACAAATATGCACTACATTTACAGAGTTTCAAACTATTGATTCCAGAGAAGTTCAGACACGGCTCAAAAAAGCACGTCTTAGAAGCTTAGGAACGGCACAGCCAGAGCCGTGGAGAGTTTTAGGACCGGTCTTTGCCTCTGCTTAGCAACAGTCCAAAACTACCCCTTGGGGCGAGAGGTCGGAAGTGGAGACCTCGTGTTCAAAGGATTCTCTCCCTGGGGTAGAAGTGTCTAACCCTGTCCTTCTAAAGTTCCCACCACGCGATCCATCCCACCAGAGTTTCGCGTGGAGAAACACGTTGTAATTACAGAGCCTGGGTAAGAGCTTCAAGAGCTTGTGAAACCCCAAGACAGCCACATTGGAAAGTCTGCACCCAGCACAAGCGATGTAATTTCCATCACCACATCTTTGCTGGGTGCTCAGTGGAATCTGGGGCATCACCTCACACCATCATTTGTTCCCTGTGTGTGAGCAGGCCGCACCCCTGGGAATGGATTGGTTTATAAGGAGAGTAACTATGGTAGCTACGCCTGTGGGTACTGCATGTCCATGTAAGGTTGGAGCTCCAGGGAGCTCCACGGCCGACTTTTCACTACCTGCTTCAACTGTCTGGATACGTGTAGGAGATCCTACTTTTGAAAACAAGTCCGGGGTATCTCCTCATGCCTTGACTTGTAAGTGCAGAAATACGTGTTTGGATACAAGTCCAACATGGGAAAGAAGACGTGGATTTAGTCCATGAACGGAGGTGCTGTCGCACATTAAACGTTAAACAGTGTGGCGGTACACACAGCACTCCCAGCACTCAGGAACTGGAGCAGGAGGATTGCCATGAATTTGAGGCTAGCACAGGTTGATAGTGAGTTCCAGGTAGTCAGGCTACAGAACGAAGACCCCTTCTGAAACAAAAGGAATAGAAGGGGCGAGGGAGGAAAAAGAAAGGGACAAGGAGGGGAAAGAGAAAGAGAACCGAGGGCTGCGGAGGTGGCCCAGTGGGTGCAGTGCTTGCTCCACATCGTGGGACCTGAGTTCAGACCCTTGGAACCCATGGAAAAAGCCAAGCATGACAGTATGCAGATACAACTCCAGTGGGAGGGGCTTGCTTTCTCAAGATATTTAATGGGAGAGGCTGTCCAAGCAGCAAGGGGGCAAGCGATGTAGAAAGACACCAGTTGCCCGCTCAGGCCTCCACACATGTGAATCTGCATACACTGCACATATACACTGTACTTATACAAGGTGTTTTGGTTTGGTTTGGTTTGGTTTGGTTTGTTGAGCAGTTTCTTTGTGTAGCCTTGGCTGTCCTAGAACTCATTCTGTAGACCAGGCTGGCCTCAAACTCACAGAGATTCCCCTGCCTCTGCCTCCCAAGTGCTGGGATTAGAGTTGTGGGCCACCACCACCCGGCTATACTTTTTTTTTTAATAAAATATCTGGACTTGGTGGCTCATGTCTGTAATCTTGGTGTTCAGGAGGGTAAGGCAGGAGGATTGCCAAGTTTAAGTACAGCCTGAGCTCTAGAGACATTGTCTCAAAACAAAAGAACCCACGACAGAAAACCTACCAGTACAAAGGTACTTCTTTCCTCTAGACTTCATCGTCCTGGCTGTGTGGGGGATGCTGGCCGTCAGTGGGATCACACTGCAGATTCGAAGAGAGAGGGGACAGCCGCCTTTCCCGCCCCACCCCTACAAGCTGTGGAAGCAAGAGCGGGAACGCAGGGTGACGAACATTCTGGACCCCAGTCACCACATCCCTCCGCTGAGAGAGAGGCTGTATGGCCGAATCGCTCACATCAAAGAGCTCTTTCAGAGGGAGCAGCCGGCTGGAGAGCGGACACCCCTGCTCCTGTAGAAGGCGGAGGGCTTGGTCAGTGTGCTTTCCCTGGCGTCCTCATCCAGCCCGCCCCGCTGTCCCAGGTCCAGTGTGGGGGTCAGCTGCGGTCTGCGATGGGCCATGGCCCTGTTTGTACAGTAGTGAAGTCAGGACTCTAGGTGACGATGAGAAGTCACCAAACGGCTGGCTGGGTGTAGATGCTTGGCCTCATTTCCCACAATCTTTAGAAGTTACCTTTGGTTATGATTGATGTTTTATAAACTACACCAAAAAATAAAACTGTCGGTTCTCCCTAAAGCCCTGGTGTTTTCTCTCACACTTCTTGAGCAGTTTTGACCCAGTGTGAACCATGGAGGTAAGGCTGGCAGTGGGTAGCTACTTGCTTTGTGTGTAGAGACCTTTAGGAATTTCATTCTGGGCCCCTGACTGTAAAGATTAAGGGAAAAGTAACTCCCCTTTTCACTGAAAGCAGTGATTACATGGCTGCATCTCATATTTTAAATCAGGAACCCTTCATTGTTTTCAGTAAAGGAGTTATTTTAAAAATGGTGGCAAACTATCCTAAAATGTATCAGCGTAAATTCCTTGTTTTGCCTCTTAGACTTGAAGTGGTAATTTATAGAACTAAATTATTTCTGTAATTGGAAGTAGCTCAGTTTATTAAAGATAATAGAACTTTTATACGGATAAGTTATCTTTAGCCCAAATGGTGGCCTGTTTTCGTTTGGGGGCCATTTAAAGCAGTGTTGCCTGCTGACCTTTCTCTTAGGTCGCTTAGATGATGAGGACAAGCTGGTCACTTGTGTCACCAACGTGAAACTTTTCCTTCCCAGTGCTGCGTGGAGCAGCTGCATTAGCGCCCTGTGAAGTTCTTGCTAATCCACCGTTGTGTTCCCCAGCTCCTGTGCTCCGAAGCTCAGAGGTTATCAGCTAGAATGGATGTACTCAGGAGCTGCTCCTGAGGGCTGCCCTGGATTCTGTTAAGGAGGCCTCTGACTTTGGGGCTGAACACCTCCCTCTCAGGCCTGGGTTGTGGGCTGGGAGCTGGCTCCTCTGACATGCACGAGTGAGTGTGGCTGTGTTGTGCTCACTAGTGAGGTGGCCACTGCTTTCCTGATGCTTTTAGTCTCTTCCTGGTACAGTCAGTTATGGAAATTTCAGGCAATGGGAGGGTCTTTAGTTTGGGTTTTGAAAACATGTTTTGAAGATATAATGAAAAAAATTTTATTAAAAAGAATTCTTATTCTTTTATTATTGTCTGGCTTCAGCAATGAACTTGCTTTTTGAAAAATAAATGTCTATTGTCATTTCTCTCACATGCTGTTTCAGTTGCGAGACTGTCGGAGAGAGGTCGTCTGCCGGGACACACGGGCAGTCAGAACTGTAAAGGGAAAAGGCTTTCTTGGAGGGAGAATACAAAGCATTTTTAAGTTTTCATGACTTTTAACCACTTGTATAATATTTGTAATAAATACCTATTTTGAAAAAATGCTTAAGGCCTTGCTATTGTGATGTCTCTAGTTTATACTGGTCAAGTCTATGCTTTTACAAACTAAACTAATCTGGAAAATGGCTGTTTTAGAAACTCAGCTTAAGACTGATAGGAAGTGAAGAAAATCGAGGATGTTATAGTTTGCATATATATATATATGTATATTTAAAAATGTTTAATGATTTATTTTTATGTATATTGATGTTTTGCCTGCACATATGTCAGTGTGAGGGTGTCAGACCCTGGAACTGGAGCTACAGACACTTGTGAGCTGTTATGTGGATGCTACAAATTGAACCTGGGTCCTCTGGAAGAGCAGCCAGTGTTCTTAGAAGCTGAGCCATCTCTCCAGCCTCTAAGTTTAATTTTTGAGACAGGGTCTCAGGTGGCCCACACTGGCCTTGAGCTCTCTATGTGGCTGAGGACAACCGAGCTGTTTGAGCCCAGCATGGCCTATGGCAACGCAGGCCACGGTGAGCTCCAGATGCCCACAGGCTGGTTCATGTGGGGTCTACCGTTAAGTCACTTACTCCCTCTTCTCCTGACAGCAGGCATTAACAGAAACCCCTTCTAGAGCAAGCTGGTATAACACTGAGCAAGCAGCTGGCCACAGATTCCTGCTGGAGTGTGAGTGGGAGCTGACAGGACCTTCTATTTTAGTCACTCCACATGCAGAAAGTACCAAGTCTGGGGTCGCTCTGTAGGGAGCCTGGATCACAAGCAGCTCCCTTTCTCAGTCTTGCGGCCCAAGCTCCTTGAGAAGACCGACCTGTTTCAGGATTGGTACTTCTACCATGAGTACAGGGTTAACTGCTGGTACTTCAGGAAGACTTCCGTTGTTTCAAACAGTGGCAGTTGATTGACTTTGCTGGAATGGAAAAAGAATGCAAGGCTGAGGTTGCACGTTATCATCCACTCCTGTGGTGGGGACGAAGCTAGCAGCTATGTTCTTAGTGTACAGCCTGCAGGATCTGCTAACAAATTCAATGCAAGACATAAAAAAGACTATGGTCTAAGATGCCGCCATCTTTGTACCCTGCAGTTACCCTTGCAAGGATGGGGAAGACTATACAGAGGTTTGGGGATGAAGAGTTTGGCTTTGGACAGTCAAAGATGGGTTAGTATGGAGATTGTGAGAGCTTCAGGCAGAGCTGTACGTCTGAGAGTCCCAGGGAATTAAAATACTCCATAGGTTACAGATTGGGGAGACCGCGGAAGAATTGAGAGGAGTTATAGCACCACACAGGAATAAGACATTTGCATAAGTGAACACATATACACAAGCATACATGCATGCATACACACCCTTTTTCTCTCTTATGTAGTGGCACAAACAGTCTCTCCCCCCCCCAAAAAAGTCTAAGAGCTGACAATACAGCTTAGTGATGCAGCATACAGAGGGCACGCAGAGTGCATGCATACATACAGAGTGCACACAGAGCGCATACATACAGAGTACACGCAGAACACATAGAGAGTATACAGAGTGCACACAGAGCACATACATAGAGTGCAGGCAGAGCACATAAAGCACACAGAGCACATACATACAGAGTACACACAGAGCACATAGAGTGCACGCAGAATGCAGAGTACATGCAGAACACAGAGAGTATACAGAGTACACACAGAGCACATACATAGAGTGCAGGCAGAGCACATACATAGAGTGCACGCAGAATGCACACAGAGCACATGCAGAACAGAGAGCATACAGAGATCCCAGTACCACCCACCCCTCCTGCAAAGAGAATAAGTTTCAAAAGCAAACTGTGTTTAAGAAATGTAAGCTTTGTTTTGATATTAAAGCTGAGGCTGTCCCAGTTTTAAGCACTCGTCTTTATTGATAAAATAGGCCCCTCTTCAGCACACACTCTCAGATGTAAGCATAAAGTTGTTTTTTTGGGGGGTGGGGGTGGTGATGGAAAACTGTTGTCAAAAACAAAGCAAATGTCTTTCAATACTCACAACCTTAAAGTCATACCCAAGACAAAGGATAAATAATTTTTTTATAAAAATAATTACTTTTCAAGTAACATTTTGTTCAACACACTGCCTCCGACTCATCAGCTGTGCAGCCTCTCTTCTGGCCCACACGAGCAAATGTACCATTACATTAGGGGTACTCTCCAAACCAATAGAAACATCTTAGCAATAAATTCATGTATGTATAAACTATGAAGGCTCCGCATGCGAAGTGCTGAACATCGGGGCACTGCCCTTCCCTAGCAGCCCTGTGACCCCGCTCACCTCATCACAAAGTCCTTTGAATTTTACCAATACATGAAATTATATGTAAAATTATAATGCAAAGTAATATTTCCTTAACAAATGATATACTTGAAAGTAACACATTCTATTTGTGCTAACTTTTAATATGAATCTGACACACAAGAATATTATATTTTTAGCCATATATTACAACCTTTTATCCTGTTCTGAACACTACACAGTAACAATTAAGTTTCAATTGGTGTTAAAGCACACTTCTGTACCTTGTGGCCTTCAAAAGCTTTACATATTGTAAATATGATTATTTTTTAACTGCACAGGATAATGTTTAGGGGTCTGCACTTCGCTGCCCATTTCTGAGTCATAGGTTGTAGGGAAAACCTCACAGGTTATAAGAACCAAGCAAATGGGGCTTAGACTTAGACCCAGAACTTTTTTTCTTGGAACCTGCATCTGCTTTTTAAGTATTTGAAGAGTAATTTCTTAAATAAAAACAAAGAAATTCCAAATTTACTTGGAGATTACCATACCCATTTGATACATTAAATATGTCAACTGTCTACCAGTGAGCAGTCATGTATCCTTAAACATCAAGTAGAGAGGAAGAAAGCCAGTTTGTTAACTGTGAACCAGAAACATTCTTTCAAAGTAGTTTAACCTACTAAATGTGTCTATATACTGTTGTCTTTCTTAGAAAGTAATATTCCTTCTCTTTCCTTCCTGAGCTGGCACTGCATACACTCAAGCAAGTCATGGATAACGGCAGCTGAAAGGAATGGGCACTAGGGATGGTCTAGGGATGGTGTTAGTGGACACCTTCCGTGTGTGGTGTAAGTAACATTCCTAGAGCCTCTGAGACTGAACCGCCTTTGACAGGGGCTCAGCAAATGGGAAGGTTGACAGGTGACCAAGGTGGAAGCCTCGTGGTACACAAGCTGTTCGGAGACAACAGGAAGGACAAGACTTAGAACAAAGTCTTCCACTCAGAAACCACAGCAAACCTTACATTAAAAGGGCTAATATAGGACTTCCAAATGTTTATTGGGAGAGTTCAGGGTGACCCACGTATCCGGGAACCACAGCACCTGGCAGCAGTGTGAGGCTCACTCTTCCATCCTCATTTACACTCTGCCGTCTAGTTCATGACCACGGGTTTTTCATTCCTCAGTCTCTGCTGCTGCACTTGTACATACAGTAGAGGGGAACAGGCTGGCTGAGCTGTGTTTGTGTTCATTCATCCGCTCACTTCTGAGCCCATCCCAGTGACCGTGCAGAGAGCCACTCAGCTCTTCCTCAGACTCAGGTCGCTGTTAGTCACGAACGCGGATAAAGATGTACTCTCTGATGCATCATCCTTCCGAAGGTTCAGAAAGGACTCTCGGGTTATCTGAAGGATCTCTCGCAAGCCTTTGTTTTCTTGCTGTAAGGAGACAAGTAGAACTGAAGATGTTATACCCCATGCACACAGACCAATGTTCGGGCCACCCCTAAGATTCGTACACAGCACCTCTAAAAGCCAGATGTGTGAAGGTGCAGCATGAAATGCAGGCTCTGGGATCACATACATGTACTA